AACGGCTTGATGGAAGGAGTTGCATAAAAGGCAATGGCTTATATAATTACGCTTGACCTGGTGGCTGTAAAATAGATATGATATTCTTTACAGGCCATAAATAAAGCAGTTAACAAAATCACTTGATATCTCAAATTCATTCATTTCTTCTACCTCTATGCATCTGTTTCTCAGATAGAACGTTCTTGGATGAAGACGTCGGCTCGATGCCAGGTTAAGACTGCAATTTATCTCGATATAATTAATTCACCACACAACAAAGTATCGACTGCTTTGCGGTTTGATATTGTGGCTTTTCAGAATCTGTTTTAAGGCCACGACAGAATTGCACCCACATACTTTTCTGGAGCTGAATCGTCTGTGACATAAGAGAGAGAGAGAGACAGAGTGTGTCACTGGTGAAAATATCTCACCTTCCTCCCCCGGAGCTCCCCGAATAGAGCACAGCACCCACCATTGAGTTGCACAGCTTGACTTTATGTGATGTGGTACAATATGAAAATAGTGTTGCTCCTGTCAGGCTGTCTTGGTTTTTTCTCCTGGGGTCCAAATGTCATGCAGAGCCATCGGCCTTTCGCACATGATAATGATAGAAACGCCGCCTCATGTAGTGTTGCCATCCAGCAGCTGTTTCTCAAGAGGTACGCGTTCGGTGGGGTAATAACACAATGGCAATACACAAAATGCGTATGATAAATGCTGGAAGAAAAGAGAGAGAATGCAAAGAGGGCACCTGCCCAAATTAAATGTGTCAAAGCTGAACTCTGAAAAGATTTTACATTATTATAATCAAGCCTTAAAAAAAGCATGTCCACGCTGTATTTCTCTATGGACAATTAAAATGAAGTATATATACGTAAGTCCTTTGAACCTGACCCCTTTCTTTAACCGCGTCTATTTTTTGCCATTCCAAAGGAGATGTGCAAACTGTGCAGGACTCTTCCCAACAGTGCCGGGGACAAGGTCTTGAACTTGTCGTTCTGCCTGAGAGCTGCAAACATGCCAAATCAGTGCAGCGCTTGTGTGTGAAGGATGGTTGCCGATGGTATGCTGACCATGCTGGGACTGCTGGTATGGCAGGAATGGGAGTCCTGGCTTGGGAACACTGCCTCACTCTGCCTATCTGGTTCCCTGTCCATGCTAAATGTGGAGGGACCACGCAGCTCCACTGAGGATATTTAAAAGGATTTTCAATTGGCTCCGTCATCATAAATCTCGCTCCACTTATCAAGTGTGTCATTGTGCAACTAGCACCTGCCACAAACTCTCTTCCTTTGTCCAAAGAACATCTATAGTATTTTTGCTCAGAAAAAAAACGACACATGAGTGAGTTGAGGACAGAATCTGGTGAGTTGCGGCTGAGATTAGAAGAAGAATCTTGCTCTGTCTCTCACGGAGCAGAATTTCGCCACCAGTGATCGTGTGATTTCCACCTCACACGGCACCACTGCTCCTATAAACCAAGCTTAAAGTCAAGCAGTCTAAAGACTGACAACTGACAGATACTGTTTGTGTGTTTATCTGCAGCAGCTGCTGTTGACATGCATGTTATCAGTATTCATTTTAAATGTTTTTGCATAGAATTAGCATTTTGACACTTGTAGAAAGAGATGATCCGGGGACGAAAGGTTTCCAACCTTGGCAATGTCCCCTGAAGTTAAGTTAAATTCAATTACAGCAGGTCTTGCTTTGTGTCACGTTAAGGTGTTTCAACTGTCCATTGTGGTGCATTCAGTGAAGCTAAACTATTTTTTAGTGGCAAGGTCAGAAAAGGGTTCAGCATTCAGTGACGAAAAAGCAGCAGCCTCTGTTGTCTGCCTCCTCACGCAGAAGTGTTTCAAACTGGAATGAGCTGGCTGCAGAAAAAGATCATTGCTTTTCCCCTTCTGCCTCCGCTCAATCTATCGGTGGCTCTATCTCTGTTTCTTTGTTCCTATAGAGAAAAACCGAGCAAGTCTGTCCCCAGGACAGACGGCACACTGTCTGCAGTGCTGTTGCTGTGTGTGTGTATGTGTGATTGTGTCTGCGTGCGTGAGAGAGAGAACGAGTTTTTATTAGAAATGCTGGGTAAAAAGTTCCAGTGATGGGTGTTATTTGATGTACTTACCTACAGGAGGTAGTAACTGCAAGTCTGCATGAATGCATGAATCTTTTAAAGGTGATAGTGTGATCATTCTTTATTCTGTGAAGTCCCCTGTTTGTTTGTTATTTCTGATCTTTCCTCTGCAGAACTATATGAGTGAAGACTGAAAGGGTGTTGACACATGCATCTACACAAATAACAAACTATTCTGCATTAAAATTAAGATGTTAGTTAAAAGATTTATCGGACAAAATGGCATTAAATGAGCTGCTGGCTGGCAGCTAAAGGCGCAAACAGCACAAAATGAGTTTCAAAAAAGCAAGGTGAAGCTGTCTGTGGAACACCCACAAGGGACAAACATATACATATATCTTTATAGCCAATTATTGTTTGTCTGTATGCTGGTTCATGAGAAAACATCAAATTCTTAGAGAAATATTGGCCTTCCTTGTTGCATGCCTACGCCTACAGTTTATCTCTCATTCATCTAAAGCCGACTCCTCGTTTGCCTTTGGTCAGTGTTAGTGCTGTCAGGATATCAGCTGTATGGATCAGCCGTCTCTTTATACCATCTACCTTATGCATCACTCCTCCCCATCGCTGCCCGATCTTCATCAGATTCATCAACTCATCATTCTATCAGCGTCATTAGCCAACACCACCACCAGTGTCCGGACTCCACAGGGGGGGTTTATCGTCACGGCAGAAGCCCAAGTGCCAAAGACTGCATGAAGTCTTTATCGTCACTGTCAGGATCCCACCAGCTTCACTCACTCCTCCCACTCGTTCACAGTCCCCTGAATTCTACTCATCGTCACCTGCACCTCATCAGTTCACATCCCTTTATATTCGGCTCCTCTTCACACACTCAGTGTCTGGTCTCGTCTCTACAGGACACCACAGACTCCAAGCTACGTACCTGAATCCCTACCGGCTGATCCAAGGGACTCTCCTCCAGTCCGTAACCCGGAACTCGGACTACCCTCCTGTTAACGTTCCATCCTGATCATCTGCCTGCCTATTCCTCATATCTCCGTCTGCTTCCATTGAACTCACCTCACGGCTGTCTCCTGTCCCCCATTCGTGACAGTCACATGTCATCTGTTAATATTAAGAAACAAATCTTTAAGAAACAAATCATGTTTGAAAGTGAGACATTAAAGCAGTCAAATTTACATAGAAGCATGTGTGTTAATTATATATAAAAAGCATCTCAGGTCAGTCAAATATTCAAGTCACCGGCTGCAAAGGTTTAGACTGTATGACCTAGATGTAAGGTACAAAACCACTAAATCACTAACGTAACGTAAGAATTTTTTTATCAGACTTACAATATTTGAAATGACTTTTTAGTTTGATCTGGTTCAATAAAACAGTAGTTACGGTACATTTATTAAGCCGTATCCATGTGGATCCGCTCCTGCATAACATTTTCAGACGTGTGGTACTATTGGTTGTTCCATTGTTTTGAGGAATGTGTGGGCTTGCATCGATGCTGCGCTTCCCGCCTCAGGGCAAACGTGTGTGTGTGTGAGTATTTCTATTATGTCACAGTGATGATACAGCACTGGCAAACAGGCGCACAGGGGCCTCAGTGCAGCCCCACCCCTCCAATCTATGAAGGACTTGCCTGGTCACCGTGAGCTGCTGAGAACCTCTGTATCAGAGAAGGCTTCTGGGTAGAGGGATTAGCTGGTGAGAAGAGACAGCTGAGGCCTGTGTGGTGTCAGCGCTTGTGCAATCAACACATGCACACATATATGAATGCTGCACCAATCTATGCTCTCCCTCAATAATCCCCAACTTCTTTTTCTGCAGGGGTCAGACACCCACAAAGGCCTGGGCCCACAATAGCCAGAGGGAGGCTGGAACAGGACGGGACAAAGGCACACTGAAGTGCTTGGTCAAAGCTGACAGGGCAGCTGAGTCATCACTGATGATGCTCAAATTGATCATTTGCAAAGATTGTCACATTGTTTTTTTGAGTTTTGAGTAAATGTTAACAGGTTTTATTATTTTCTTCATGACAGTTACTTCGGGACCATGTGTAACAGAGGACATTTATATATGTTTTAAACATGTCAGTTTTCCTGTTGCAATGACATTCATTATTTTTCTTTCATGGAATTTAGTTTAGTAACTTTTTCTGCGAGACATCAGACTCATTTAGAATCAGAATCAGAAGCCATTCACCGCCACACCGTGATGGAGACGGCTGAGCTCATTTGTTCAGACAGGTCTCTTCCAACTAAATGAATTGATTGTAAATGGCGTAGACTTACTACAAAACTCAATTCACTACAAGTAAAATTGATCACCTGCTATGAATAGCATATTTGTGAAGGCAAACTGGTCCCAGAATGACAGTCGCTTAAAAATAGACCATGTTAAAAATGTACTTGTAACAAATCAAGCAACAACAATTTCCAATAGACTACGGGATTGGCTAAATGTTTCAAAATTTGAAGTGCTACTTCTACATGAAAGAAAAAAAATAGCCAGCGCAAAACAATACTTGTGCTTGAAGATTGAGATTATGTTTGAATGATACAATTTTAGAAAAAGGTCTGATGACGATACCTCCTCCATCGCTCCATCATTACTCTGCAGCAGAGCGGCATGCATGTCTTGTGCGTGCATCTTTCAGCAGTGATCAACAAATCATGTGTTTCGCCGTCACCCTCTATCAGGTTTCGTTGAGTTTCATAGAGAGGCGTGCGGTGTGACTCATCCATATTCATTGTGCAACAGCAGAACTATAATTCAACATTTCATAATAAGCATCTGATTTATAGCAATTTATCTGAAACCGTCCTCACCCAGATTAAATAGATTCCAATCATTTGTCAATACATTTAAGTGTGTCCTGTACAATTGTTTAATTGTATTTTTTTGCAAAGACTCACATGACAGTTCATTGTAATTTTCAACGTAACGTTTATTCAAATCAAAGAGGAGAACTAGACAAAGTTAAGCCATTCAGAACATAGTATATTCATAGAATATCTATACATTGTGACAATTGAGACAAAAAATGCTAAAAACAAACATACAAATGGGAAATAAAGAAAATTCAGTGAGCAATATTGCACTTTGTTTCTAAAATGTTTCAGATACCATTTCCCAGGTTCTTTATCTCTGAACATTTCAGTTCCTGCCTTTATCAAGTCAGGGGTTTAGCTTAGTTTTGACACTGGACTACTCTGCGGCCCGAGCAAATGGACTATGGAATTGACCAACCTGAAACAAATATATAAGCTTATTCATTATTGTGTAGCTTGATTCAATATCCCTAAGATAAAAGTCCAAAGAACTGCAAACAACTACATCAGGATAGTAGAAGACGCCGCTAGTCGGAAGGGTGCTGATCAACAGCGGTCCCCCACCTTGGGGGGGTGAGACTGGTCAGGGAGGTTGCATGTTAAACTAGGAAGCAAACTATATGAACGTTCAGAAAAACGTGAAAAAAAAGGAAGAAATAGTAACCCCTCATCAGCTTCAGGAAAATAGCACAATTGAGACAAGCTGTGCAGGATATTATTTTCTGAAAACCTTTTTTTTTTCCCTCTTCCCTTTTTGTCCTTTTGAATGAACACGGAAAGGTCGAAAACAAACTAAGGTGAACAAACATAAGAGAAAAAGAGTTATCATAGACACTGTGACTTATGATCAGGTCTTTTCTGTGTCAAGGCCACTGAGATAAGATCACTTTAATTTGCAGTTTGTCGATTTCTGTCAGATATTTAGTCGTCAGCTGGATCCCGATAAGAGCGCGCACACACACACACAGACTCACAAACACAACACATACAAACTTGTGTCAGCTACGTTTTAAAAATGTAAACTTCTTTTAAAAAGTCACTAATCTTAAAAAAAAAAAGAAATCTAACAATTCATCCAGGTCCTACACAACACTGCTTTACTGGTTAGTACCAAACAATTACATCCCCAGACCTTTTCCATTCAACGCTTTTTGTTTCTTATCAAAAAAGTGCATCTATTCTTTTTTTTTTTTTGTGACTATGTCAAACCTCTGTTACAGCTGGTCTTTAGTGTTGAATGAGTTAGAAAACCAATGTATTACTCGTGTCAACCTACCACTACTTGTTCTGAGCAGTCAAACAGAGGTTTAGCAACGTCCCCAGCTTTTAATTTGTCTGGGTTTGCTCCGTTAAAGCAGAAGTACTCCGCTTTCTCATCTTTGAGTTTCATAGCAAGCGTCCTGGCTTCACTGGTCTGGTAAAATGCAACTGTTGGTTGGATGAACTGGGCAAGTGCAGCAGGACAAAAAGGGAATGTGATTAATCTCAGAAAGCTGCCTTGCTTCTCTGCAGTTCCATCTTGTTTTGGTAGTTAAAAACGAAAACTTTCATTACTTTTTAACAGTGCAATTAAAAAAATCCAAACATTTTTACCCCAACTGTTTGGCAAGTGAGACGACCACCTGAGACTGCGGTTTGGACAGTTTTGCAAGCCTGGCTTGCTCTGTGATCGGGAGTAGAGGGGCTGCAGGTAATTAGGGTGAGGCGAGTCCCTCCACAATGTACAACTCTCTTTGTTTCTCTCTCTCACACACACACACACACACACACACACACACACACACACACACACACTTTTCTCCGTAGCTACAATGCAGGTCTGCAACCCTCCCAGTCCAAATCCAGAGCAACCTCAACACAATAAAGGCTAATATCTAGTCTATGATTGGAGCTAAATACAAAAAGAGAAAAAAAGATGTCAACTATAAGGGGAGGATCAAAGCTGAGGAGGTAACATCTTAAAAGATGAAGATAGTGTGCTACGAAAGTCCAGTCTAGTTGTCTTAAGTCAGGAAATGTCATAAAGAGAATAAGAAAAAATCATAAACAAATTCAGTGCAGTGTTCTCGCCAATCTTTTTTTTTCTTCCCAAAAATCAAATCCTGTCGTCAGCGTTACACAAAGTTTAGCCTGCAGTCTCTTATTCGTAGTCTGGCGCGTCCTATTTTTTTCCCAACTAACATTAAACAGAGCAACACAGATCAAGTAAAGAATAAAGTGTGCAAAAAAAAAAGAAAAAATGAGGCAGGAGGACCTACTCTTTGCTCTTTGTTGGCTGCAGAATGCTCGCATTCATGCAGACTGTGGTGGATCGAACGCTGAATCTATTACTCTTTTTGTTGAGTTTTCTTTAGGTTACTTTGCTGAAGTTCGGACAAGATCGGTCCTCCTTTGCGTGAGGAGCCATGTGCGTATGTGCCACGAGCACAGAAGAATCAGGAGTTAGAGAGAAGCTTGGCGGGCCGAGCCTTGCCGAGTCTTTGTTGTCATTGTCAACACTATCACCGGGGCTCTCGCTACCAGTTGGGTTTTTCATACAGACTGAAATGTGTTCATCTGTATACCTTCCACCCTCAGCAGGCTGACACAGGAAGGAAGCGATGGCCCAAACTGGTGGATCCGGTTTCTCTTGCTGAGGGAAGCAGGAACAAATTTGTCCAACCCAACGCAACTGTGGGTTTTTTGTTGGTTGGTTGGACACTTTGTATTTCTCTTGATGTCAACAGCGTTGAGTGAACATTGTTGTTGGAGAAAAATAAACAAAGCTGAGCCTTGAAAGCAATTTTCTTTAGAGATCCCCCACGTCGGTGGGGGGGATTTTCAGGAAAACCCTTCAGCGTGATGGACAGGCGTCAAGCCTTTGCTCCTCTGTACGTCTGGCGTGATCTGGATTCGGGTCAATCTGGAGAGGAGACAAGAAAAAGGAGGTTAATTTATTGAAATCCGGAGCGGATTTAATTTGGGCCAGTAATAGAAATGCAAACAAAATGTCATCCGGTGCTCACCTCAGAGTACAGAGGAGGAGGCTGGAAGCGGAACTCATGAATGTAGGCGAAGAGAGGTCCGTCCAGCTCCTCGCGCGCCGCCGGGACGTCCCGACTGCTCTGCCTCTGCGCCTCTGTCGCGATTTCTGCATAGCTTGGAGGAGCTGCGGAGGGACGGGGAGCCACACGTTAGCATCGTCAATGAGTGCACCCAGAATTTGAGTTAACCGTGTGAATCATGAGCGCGAGGTTTGGACCTACCTTCAGGCCTCTCAGGCAGACCCATGCCCAGCCAGCTCATGCTGCACTGGCTGCTGACACTGGAGGTACGGGAGCCGAATGGGTGGAGAGGGATCGTCCCGATGACCAGCGGCAGGTTCAGGGAGAGGTTTATTGCCCCAGGTATGTCCACGTAAACCTGAGCGAATCACCACAGCGGGTTAGAATCTGCACGCCATTGTGAGGTACAATAAATGCGCTGCAATGAGCGGAGCAAAATGTGCTGGTCTGGGCTGAACGGGTTGTGCAGTTGTTCGACATTATGTGTGTCTATGAATTGAGGTCAGTTGTTTACGCAGGTAGAGGCGGCGTCTGGTGGCTGTCTGTTCGTGAGGCAAAGAGGTCATAAGCACCCGTCAGGGCAGGTGTTACCAAAGATAACCTGGGATAATGCTCTTAGCGGCATGTCGAGAGAACACCTGGTGCCATCCAAAGGGCCAGATTTGGCAATGGTGGCTGAGTCAGCCTGGTCCTTTTGTGTGGAGAGGTGTTTGCTTAGTGGAAATATTGATTCTGTACCGACGTTAGTGCGGAGAAATGGTGACATTAGGGTCAACCGAAAACTGCCATACAGAATCCCCTTTGTGTCTTTGCCAATGATCTCTGGATACAGAACACCATTTCAGAGTGTGAGAGTAGGCCAAATACAGGAAGACCGCACTCACCATGAGGGAGTACTCGACTCTGATAATGCTGCAGTCCAGGATGGAGGGTGAGACAGGTGGGATCTTCAGCATCTTGCCGCTCCAGGTCTCAGTTTTGCCCGAGGACAGAGACTCTCCCCGCAGGTTAGCCACCAGCTGCTTGACCTCCTTCATCTTCCCTTTGGCATAGAAGGTCTGGGTCTGGTAGATGGCCGCCTTCGGCACCACCATGCGGGATGAGCAGTTCTCAATCTCGGCAAAGATCTGGATCGACTCTCCTACAAGAGTCAGCGAGGATGGTGGGGAAGTTAGTTGATGTTTCTCTGCATTACCATCAAAAGGTAGTGATCTTTCCATCTGGCGTGTCATTGCTAATAAATGCATTGATCTGGACAGTAAAATACTTCATCTACCATCAATGTGTTGGAGCAACAAACAAACAAACTCACCTGGGGTGTATCCCTTCCTTTCAATTTTGGCACTTAGGGAAATAGGACCTGAGGTGCAGAACCAACAGCAAAGCGTCTTGTCTTTTGTGCCGGCCTGTGGTGACTGGAGAAAAAAAAAAAAAGAACAAAGATTCATTAGAACATTTCTAATGAGATTTCTCTGAAATATTGCCCTTGACTACTCTGTTCCGGGTCCCATGCCCTGAGTACCATCACTTCACAAATTGAAATATTATGACAACTTACCAGCAATAATGGAGTGTTGATGTCAATGTGCTCAAAGACTGTAAATTCCTTCTTGGTCTTCATGGGCAAGAGCCACGGCCTGTGGAGTTCTGCCTTTACCCAATAGCGCACACTGCCATGTTTCCCTTCGAAAGAGGTAGCCAAAGGTCTACAGGAAGGAAGACAGGAGGAAAAGAAAAATCAAGCGGTTGTACGACCTGTCAAAAGCTCGGATAGGCTCCGGCTGAACGATGCCGATGTTACGGATTCATCTGGCTGGCGTGTAGTACGAAGACACTTACGTCTGTGGAAGCTCGAGGCTGAATGCATACTCGTGTCGCCCTGAATGGATAGTGGTGAGTCCTTCCTCAGAGTTGTCATCGTCTGAAAAACAAGGAGGACAATATTCCAAACCCTTGTATACCATACCTGGGCAAAATGCTCTACGAAGGCATCTGAAAGTCATACCAAAAACACAGGGTGGGGGAGACAAGAGAATAAGCGTATTTTACATGTCTGTCTGTAAGAAAGGGATGTATTGAGAGATGAGCAGCAGACTAATATTAAGTGCGCATTAAATTATTTGGTTGTTTTAAGAAACTGAGCGTGCAAGATAGTGCTTTTGGTTGAACAAAGAGCTAAGTCGGAGGGATCCCATTGTGGCATGATGGAGATACTTATGCTGTTACTGGGGGAAACTGAGCTCTATGTGGCAAGAATTAAATCCTAATCGGTAGTTAAATCCATCGTGTCAACAAGGACCAAGCTTTTTCCTCCGTTCATCTCTAAACCCCCCCCAAAAAAAAACAAGAGAATATCTTAAGGGAGGAGAGGAAATTTTCACATCGTCGAAATGCTCATAAAAATCGTATAAACTTTATAGATTTATTTTTCAATCAAAACAAGAGCGTATTCTAAAGAGAGGCCCGGTGAGCTTTTTGCCAGCTCAGCACTCCCTCCCCCAGCAGCAGCAGCAGCAGGAGCCGTGTGGTAAACAAGTACGGAGCTGTCAGTCAAACCGCAGACTCCAGCAGGAGGAGACCGGCCTGAACCGGTGCGAGCAGCTTCCACACCGCCGCTCTGCGCTCATTACGTATTCACTGCGCGACGCAACCGCAGCCACTACGAGCGAGATTGTACGTAACACCGGCGGTTCATCCGCCCCGTCGCGAGAGGAACGTTTGGCGAAGAGCTAAATAACGCGTTTGGGTTCAAGTAGCAGCATTGTTTTGTTTGCATTAATATATAGACTTCATTTCTAAACCTCAGCTCTTCGGATAGTAACTTAAGCTATTAGCTGTGGGCAAAACCCAAAACCAGCTCATCGGCCACACTGCCGAGATGACCGTAAAACTAAAGGATTTATTGAAAGGTGATTAAACATCGACCGCTCTGCAAATATGTGTGGGGCACAAAAGCTCCTGACAATGGAGCAATGCATCGTCGTACTGCAGCTAAACACAAGCCTGCAGAGGAAATCCGTTTTCAATGTAAGAAAAAACGGAACCTTTCTGCTTTGTAGCTCCACCGCGGATTTGCAACATATTTCGAATGCAACAACAGGCACTGCTGTTGATTCTTTTTTTTCTCTTCTATCCTGCAGGTGTTTACTTAATTGAAAAGTTGCAGAATCTTCTGTCAGTCTCTGCAAGAAGGTGATGTCATTGCCACACACATGAGCACCTCAGCCAATAGCTCGCGGGCGAGGGCGGGTCGTGCGCGTAGCTCCGCCCCCCCTGGTCCAGTTTTCTGAACAGGATTGAACCGCTTTGAACAATGGGTGGAAACTTAAGAAAAGCTACAAAGAAACGCCACATATGATGCGTTTCCACGATTAAAATGTCTTACAAAGCTAAAGGTACATCGGGGCAAATCGTTAGTCTACAGCTCTGTGTCTCGAAAAGCGTGATTTACCCTTGAAATACTGGGAAAAATGCAGATGCCCGAGATGCTGTCAATTCACTGACACCTTGACACAAACAAGTACCGATGGAGATCTATGGAGCCAGTATCACTTTAGTCCATTGCACGAATACCATCACATCGAATCCTTCTCGCTGTGAAATCCAAACCCATACTAAAACCGTATTTTACCGCTTTATTATCCCCGATGGGGACTTTCCTGGTCACAGCATCCTCTAGTTAACTTGGTCCTCAATCAGCACAAAAGAGCATCGGACAGTTTCTCTAAAACTTCTGCGATGCGAAAATAAAACCACACTCTTACCTCTCTCGTGCCCGATCAAGATGTCTTTGTGATTTAGATATTCCACTTCTTCCGTATAGTTTTGGGTGTAGGCAGTGTTGGATCCAGCGTTTCTCGATTCAGTCCAACGAACTTTCGCAAATCCCTTCGCGTGGATTTTGAGCGACTTGACGCGGATTTCTCCGGTGACTTCGATGGTCACCCTCCCTGAGACGCAGTCCCCGCTGGAGAAGACGGGGACATTGCTGTCATTGAGACAGTCGTAGCTCACCGTGAAGCTCTTTACCTTTCCTAGCACCATGGTGGAAAAGAAAAAAAAAAAGTCTATGAAAAAAATAATTTCATAAGAAAAAAAATGCAGTATTTAGACACTGATCAGTATCTCTGCCCTGCAAAAAGCAGGAGGCACGACGAGTGCTTTCTGTGCGAGCAGTTCATTGAGATGTGTGATGGCTGAATAACAGCAAGGGATGCTGTTATCGTCCGCCTCTCAGCTAGATGGTCTCCAGTCAAAGACAAGGAAACCCCCGTAGCTCAGCTCACTTTAAGCGACGGGCTGTGTGAAAAACAACCCAGTGCGCATGCGCGGGGCTCCCGCTGCCCCCTCCTTCCGCCTTCCGGAGCGAGGCAGAGAAGTGGGGCTTCGAGCCAAATGATAAGTTTGGTTCAAACAGCTCAACGACTGCATTGAGATACCCCAAGAGCTTTAAGAGGGTGGGATTGCACGGGTCATTTCTTGTATCAGAAATAAACGTTTACATCATTCAAACAGTTTCATTCCTCAATTCTTCTCTTCATTATATGTGATTGTATGATAACCGTTCAGACATGGCAAATCACCCCTGAGTGTGTTATTGGCATCTTCCAGCCTTTGTTCTAGGAATGTACAAATCCATACATTAATCTGTCATATAATCCACACATATGGCCTCATTTCAAATATATACAGGCACACTAGTATTTACATCGCTTTGCAATCAACAGAAAACAACTGCTGACAAGTGAACGACTCCTGCAGCTTAGACCTCGTAGAGTTGCTAGATAATCTGTTTTGGGGATTTAAGGGGGGGAGCAGGCTTCTAGAAAAGCTTCCTCTTTATTCACCTAGCATATCTTGTTTTTGTGCTAAGACTAAGATGGTCCATGCACATATGAGGGGGGTTGGGATTTCTCATTGTGTTGAACTCACAGTTGACAGAAAAACAACTATGAGGCCCAAAACGCCATCTAGTGGACCACCAAGGCTTCTAAAAATGAGCCGCAGCATCACCTGTTGCACAGCAAAAGAACTTAACGTGCATTGCTTTCACAAAACACGTAATTTCAATGCTAATGCATTTTGGTTATTTACAAGGCAACACATATATTTCAGTAATAGAATTTTCTTTGCAGAATTCATCCATAATGGGGACTTATTTGTGTATGGAGCTCCTAATTTCCAAGATACGTATCAAGCACCAATGCATGATTCAAATGGATCGCGATTAATACAAGTAATTGAAAACCAAATCATATTCTATCCCAACAAAAAATGGCCTGACGCATACTCATAGGAATTTATATTGTAGTATTCATGTTTTTATTTATTTAACCGTATATTAAGGAGTTCACAGACACAGGAAACCTCTTTGTGATAAATAATGCACCAATAGTACCCGTAGTTGAAGTGGTGGTCATGACATAGCCAACTCAACAACATTTTGCAGCATGTATGTATTATTAAAAGATAAATACTGCCCTCTCGAGTACTCAGTTCATCACTACATGTGAACCGTTTTCCGTTTTACTCAAACGAAACAACTCTTATTTTGAAAGCTAAACCCGGATGTTTACGTAAATCCTCCGAGATTCGCGAGTTTCTGTCATAAACAGTCAAGTTGCCTCTGACATTTATTGCTCGCTCCAGAAATCTCGGTTTATACGACAGCAAATCCCTAAATCGCAAGGGGGTGGACCGCTGACATGAAAATACAGATATGTGCTTTGATATTCCTTTGTCAAACTTATGCTGAAAGTTTGTACCGAAATGGAACCAAACCCAACATCATGATGGTCATGAGTGATGCATTTGTGAGTCTAAATTAAGTTACAGTGCTTTACAGAAGTAGTAGCTCACTTTTAGTCTTGCCTGAAGCAATACGCAAGAACAGACGTGTAGCTCTAGAAGATTAAGACCCATACAGAGATGTTTATCCTTTAAAATGTCAACCGTTTTCAGACAGTGTACCTGTGTGGCTTTGAGCCTAATTGTTAGTTTTCCTCTTTTTGCAGGATGGCCGATTGACCTTTGATCCTGGCAGCAAAGTAGTTCAGCTGCCATATGTAAACTACCTCAGGGAGCTTGGATCCACGTTCCTCAGTGCTTACACCAACTCCCCCATCTGCTGCCCCTCAAGAGCAGGTACACGGAATATATTGTAATACTTATTAACATGTAGAATAATACATGTCTGCTGTTTACTATTTGCATTACAGCAATGTGGAGCGGTCAGTTTGTTCACCTCACTCAGTCGTGGAACAACTACAAGTGCCTTGATGCTAATGCAACAACATGGATGGATTTGCTGGAGGCGAATGGATACCTGACCAAGTCTATGGGCAAGCTGGACTACACCTCAGGGAGTCACTCTGTCAGGTAGGCCGCCACTGTCACCGCATCTCATCCCTATTCAAATCAAACTCAGATCCATATTATAACTCATACACTCAGAGTGTGTATGACTAACATTACGCGTGAAGCTATTCTTTAGATCAACGTGAATCAACTCTTTGGGTACTTGTCCTCTCCTGTTTCTTTCCACTTCCGCTTCCCATTTCTTTTGTGCCGCAGCGTGCTTCTTGTTTTTTCTTTGTATTTTTCTGCAACTCCTGCAGTAATCGAGTGGAGGCCTGGACACGAGATGTTCAGTTCCTCCTGCGCCAAGAGGGCCGGCCTGTTACGCAACTTGTCGGGAACATGTCAACTGTGCGGATCATGAGAAAAGACTGGGAAAACACAGACAAGGCTACACAGTGGATCCACCAGAGAGCTGCATCCCCGCACCAGCCCTTCGCACTTTATCTTGGCCTCAATTTACCTCACCCCTATGAAACCGAGTCCCTGGGGCCCAACGCGGGAGGATCCACCTTCCTCACCTCCCCATACTGGCTGACGAAGGCATGCTGCTCCTTTTCCTACGTGAATATTTTCTCTCCATTTTTAGAGAATCCTGTTGTATGTCTTCATATAAATCATCAACAAGTTGTTGTTTTTATTTCACACACACAGGTGTCTACTGAGCTCATCTCTGTGCCTAAATGGCTGCCTACCTCTGCCATGCACCCTGTCGACTACTACTCCACCTCCACCAAAAACTGCAGTGGCGACTTTACTGAGGAGGAAATCAAAAGGATAAGGGGCTACTATTACGCCATGTGCGCTGAAGCCGATGCCATGCTGGGTTAGTTTACAGAAGTAAATCACGAGGGGAAGGACCCTCCCGGCAGGAGGTTGGAACTCAAAGCTAAACTCAAGTTCAAACAGTGATAACTAACAAAGCCGCACCAAACCAGCAAGGGGCCGTTTTTATCTCAGTTTCAAGGAATCAAACAAAACGTAGGGGAAAAAAGTACAGTTGCAGAGACTTTTTGTCACCGTGTTTGCAGCACAACCATCATGTACAATCATACCACTCAGGCTATCAAACAGGCGCATTGCAAAACTAGTTGGCTACTTCACTTGAATTATTCTTAGTGAACATTCCCTGAATTAAAAAAAAAGGCATAAAGGAACGGTAAGTACATTAGTATATGGAGATTAAAATGTCCTTTCTAGAGTACGTCTTTACCACCAGTTGCGCTTGAATAAAGGCTTTGAATCAAGTAAAAATATTGCAGCACCTCCGTGGTTATTCTGTCTCACCAGGCCAAGTGGTTTCAGCTCTGAGAGAGACCGGCCTACTTGACAACACCGTTGTGATCTTCACGGCTGACCACGGTGAGCTTGCCATGGAGCACCGACAGTTCTACAAGATGTCAATGTTTGAGGGCAGCTCCCATGTTCCCCTGCTGGTCACGGGGCCCGGGCTGATGTCCGGCCTGCAGGTCAACGAGCTTGTGTCCTTGGTTGATCTCTATCCCACCGTGCTGGGTAAGGAAGTAGACAGAAACATCAGATCAAAATGTAAAGATTTGACTTGTTATAGTCGTTTGCATGGTGTCTGTCAAAGCAATATAATAAAAGCACTAGTACATTTAGATTGTTATGTAATGTTTTGCAGACATTGCTGGTATATCAGTAAAAGGCATTCTCAGTGGCCACACGCTCATTCCGCTGCTGTCCAAGGCCCGCACTTTCTCCAGGAAGCGACGTCCAGACTGGGTTCTCAGTGAATATCATGGTTGTAATGTCAATGCCTCCACATACATGCTGAGAAGTGGCCGGTGGAAATATATCGCCTATGCAGACGGACTGAGTGTCCCCCCGCAGCTTTTTGGTGAGTTCCTGACTTCAGAAACAAACACATCAATTTCTCAAGCCTCCCGTGCTTTTAAGAATAATGGTTGATTTTTTGGTATTTTCTGTTTGCAGACATAACACGGGACAAGGAAGAACTTCATAACGTAGCTCTCATACGTCCAGATGTGGAGGCACAGCTGGACAAGCTATTGCGTAGTATTGTAGACTATCCAAAAGTCTCTGCTGCTGTCCATCTCTACAATAAAAAATCATTTGGTGCCTGGCAATATAGTTTGGGGAGAAACTACAGCCAAGTCATTGGTAACCTCAGGTGGCATGTAGATTGGCAAAAAGATGCATTAGCCAATGAGAGAGCTATTGACAACTGGCTCGCTGACTCTTTGTGATATTGTTGTTTTTTTGTGATGAATGTTGTTTTTTGTTAATGAGCTGGACTCAACCTTTTTTGGACGAGGTGAGGGACATTTATGGATGGCTCTATGGCTGTTAATGATATTTTTGCTCTATTAACTATTTTACACATGTCCGACTGATCGTAAAATATAAACATGACATGACATTTTTTTATTATTTAAATTGTTAAAAATGTACCCGAATAAAATCATATTTAGCTCAATTTTGTGTAGTTCTGTTGTTTTTGCTTATATCTGCCTACTCTCAAGCGGACCAAAGTGCAAGTATTTTATGTTGAAAATCTAAGGACGGATGCTGCAGCTTTTTTCACTTCCGGGTCACCCAACCGGAACACAACAATTGGTGAAGTAAACAGTGGGTTCTGATAGTTACAAAGTTACTTAGATTAGCTTAGATGCTCCGAGGAGTTTTTGTATGTTTCTTCTTCGTTTCACCCAGATAATTGCAAGATGTCTAATAAGGAAGTGAAAACGGCACTAAAAAGTGCCAGAGAGGCCTTAAAAAACAAAGAGTTCAAAGACGCTCTGAAACACTGCAAGGTAAAGCCTCTCAGATCCACACACTTAAAACAATGACAATTCACGTGAGGTGTGTTGGCTGCTGTTATGTATATGCTCACTCATTTGTAGTAGCAGAGCTGACTTTGACTCTTCTCCGTCTGCTTTAAGGCTGTTTTGAAACTGGAGAAGAACAACTACAACGCGTGGGTATTCATCGGCTTGGCAGCCAGTGAGCTGGAGCAAGCGGATCAGGCGCAGACAGCCTATAAAAAAGCGGCGGAGCTGGAGCCCGAGCAGCTGCTGGCTTGGCAGGTAAGGTGGGGAGAGGGAGTGACTGATGTGTATCACGGAATTAAACAACTGTAAGTCATTGCTGTGTTGTTGTGTTATTGCATATTATACTAAATATCTCCTTAATAACAGTAGTTATTTGTTTTAGGGTTTGGCAAATCTTTATGAGAAGACTGATCAGTGGGATTTTAAAGTTGAGCTACCCAACATCTACCAGAAGCTTGTTGAGCTGTATGCAAGGTAAAGTTTGGAAAGTTACAATCAATTGGCCATTATTTTCTTTATCCTGAGTTAATTTCTTACAGCGTAATGTCCTCTTGACTGGTTTAACATTTAATTTGCAATATTCTTGATTCTCATTATGTTCTCCATTAACAGCTCTGACAAAAGTAAATGTTACGAGATGATCAGTAAGCTGTCAGATATCTATCAGGCTGACAAAGAATATTTAAAGGTATGTAATTCACGTGTTAGTTAATTGGAAGAAAATACACTGCTTTATACATGTTTGAAAGTCCTTTTCATGTTTGCATATAGTTGGCAAAGGTTTGGCGGCAGCTCATTCAGGTGAAGGAGGAAGAGGCTGTGGACAAGAAAGAGTTACTGCAGTTGTGGCAGCAGATGACCCAACTCCTCTCAGATTGCCCTGATGAGCAAGAGCGGGACTATGAAACGCAACAGCACGTAAGATTTCTCCAAATGAGGACTTAAACTCAGCAACATGTGTGTTTCTCTTTGTGTACAAAACACTTTGCTACACATTAGAGTCCATCACCTTTGGCTTAATAGTTTGATTATATATTTCTTAGTTAGCCATTTGGTAACTGTTTTTTTTGTGATCATCTCAGTTAATCACAGCATTTGAGAAGGCCATGGTTCTCATGGATCCTGTACCCGGAGAGCAACACAAGAAGGCCTCAGCTGATTATGTTAAATGCCTTTCTAAAGTAAGTGCACCCTATCTGACATCTATCTCACCACCACAAAAAAAAGTCAATTGTGTTTACACTTGAAAGTAGCCTGCATCATACTTAACCCCGGACAGCAATGATCAGATGCTCATTACGAATCCTCCCTTACTCTAGTTGCCACAAGAAGAGCCCAAAATGATCGAGGCATGTAAATCCATGCTGTCCTTTTATCCCAACCAAAGTTATCCTCTTGAAGTCCTTTGTTCTCACTACCTCAAAACAGGTAACACACTGTTGGCTCATTAAATCTAAGACCACAGAATGCATGTCATATTCAAGCATTGAGGGGAATCTTAGGCTTTTGCGGTCAGTTTCACTGATACTCTTTATGTTTTGTCTGAAGGGGTTCAGAATGAGGATGCAGTCAGCTGTTTCTCCCGGCTCCTTGATCTGGCACCAAACAGTGGATTAGGTCACTTGGGTCTGGGCACCAAAGCACTGCAAGAAGGACGGTTTAAAGATGCCATTAAGGACCTTGCGCAAGGTTAGTTTGTGCATCAACACAGAACAGCGGCAGATGATCGTTTCATACTGCAACGTGCTGTTTTTTACATCTCCATATCTTATCATCTTATCTAATTTTTGTGCTAACAACTTACAATATATCTCTTTGGTTTTATTAGGTTTGAAAAATATGAGCTCCAGTAGAGGATGGTGCAATCTGGCTGAAGCCCAGTTTAAAATGCAGAAATACTCAGACTGTGCTATTTCATGCTCCCAAGGTATGTGAGTCCACTGTATCACTACATTAGCCAGATCTAATTCTAGTGGTAAATAAAGATTTCATCAAAAATTTATTTACAAAAAAACAAAACATTTTTGATAAATATATCTTCTTGCAGCCATGTCGAATCCCCAAAGCAGAAGGTGAAGTTCACTGTGTGTCTGGTTTCTATTAGGTGTGACTGGATGTGTTTCCGGAGACGAGGAGCTGAGGGTCAAACTGCTGGAGATGAAGCTAGAGGCTTTAGTCAGGAGTGGGGGAGACACTGCTGCTGACCAGGCTTTAGAGACCTTCTCTCAGGTAATTGGGGATGTAAAGAAATATTAGAAAATGTGGAGTACTGCGAATTTATGTTTTTTGGGATACTGTATTGATTCTCAAAAACATTTTTTTTATTTGGATTGATTGTATGTAAATGTGAAGTCAGTCAATTCTGTTTGTGTTTTCTCTGATTTTAGACATATGGTGGTGTGTGTTTTTTAAAATGACAAAATTAGATTTAAATATAATGTAAATATATTGCTATATGTACAGTATTGTAAGAAAGGGTTTTGCATTGTAACTCTGTATCATGATAAGCATTGTATACTACATGATATGTAGTAAATGTCAGCGTTTATTTTTTATTTTTTTCTAGATCCCAGATTCTGAGAAAGACCCAGTTCTGGTAGGCCTTAAAGGACAAGCTTACCTTAACAAGGGACGAGTGGACGACGCTCTCAAGGTTGAAAACCTTTCTCATACTGAACTCTTTACAAATCTATTATACGATACTATGAGTAACAACACAGTAATACAGAAAATGATTCAGAACAATCTCCTGTTTTAGACCCAAGATAGATTGATATATTGACGCATATAAAACTAATGGGTCTTCTGTAGGTGTCTTCAGAGCTGCTGGCCTCTCACCTGAATCTGACCCAGGGGTTGGTCCTGAGAGGACTGGCCCATTTGGCTCAGGGACAACATCAACTGGTAGAGGAGAGGTAAAAATAACACTTTCTTTTTGTGTACATGTGAGATCTGTGACCATGCATTCTCTTAAAGAGCAACTTGTGGCATTATGAAGATCTATAGGCAGAAATGAATGAGTTGATTGCAATCTGCAAACACACTACTAGATAAATGCCACCAAGTCCTACACACTGTCCCTTTCAACGTAGCTCAAGTTCGTGTGGTGCAAACAAGTAGAAACCTGAGTGGGCAACTTTTCTTTATGGCTTATCTGTTGTTTAGTTTCCTCCAGGCGATCAGCCAGAGCCCAAACTGTGGAGAGTATCATTTCTTGCTGGGACGACTTTACTGGGACATGGGAGAAGAGACCCGAAAAGACAGAAGCAAAGCCCATACACATTTGCTCAAGGTTAGTACAATTGTTATTGATTTTTGGGTAGTGAAGGGTATAAGTAATCTTTCAAATATTGATAATTATTTTAAGGGCTTCCCTTAACTTCTGCACTTGTGAATGTCACACTCGGGTTATTACTGCTGGAGGTCAAGTGTTTTGCTGAATGGAATCTTTATTTTGTTCATTTCAGGCTGCAAAGTTGGACCCAAACCTTGCTTGTGTGTTCCGCTACCTTGGGCACTACTACCTCCAAGTGGCAAATGATCTTGACCGCTCACGAAGATGCTATAAGAAGGCCTTTGAGATGGACAACAATGATGCTGAGTCTGGAGCCGCCTCAGTGGACCTCAGTATGAAGCAGGACGACATGGTAGGTGGATTTGTTGGCGACGTTGTTCAACATTGTCATCATGTGGCGTTGGCACTTTGTTGTCCCAAGTTTCCTCTCCGGTGCATCACTTTTTTTTGTCTTGACCGTTCTGACGGTCCTTCTTTCCCTATCCTCCTTTTTCATTCTTCAATATTATTTCCCAAATACCAAAGGACACTGCTTTAGCAATACTGCAGTCCGTGATTGAGAAAGCCACTCCAGGCTCAGCCAAATGGGCTTGGATGAGGCGGGGGCTGTATTACCTAAAGATCGGAGCGCATCAACAAGCTGTGGCTGAGTAAGAGTTTCAAATCTCTTTCCCAATTATTTAACCACAGGTTTTTATCATTTTCTACATTAGCACAGGCATTGTTGGAAAATGAGCATTGACGATTACATTTATGTTTTGAAGTCTGCAGGCAGCTCTGAGAGCAGATCCAGAGGACTGGGTGTGTTGGGAGTGTTTAGGTGAGGCCTACCTAAACCGCCGGAGTTTCACAGCCGCTCTGAAGGCCTTTGGAAAGGCCCATCAGCTTCAACCCTCCTCCATCTACAGTGTCTACCAGGCAGCTGCTATCAAACAGACCCTGGGCAAGTTCAAAGAGGCCGTTGCAGAGTACTTGCAGATCACGGCGCAGCAGGACTATGTGCCTGCCCTTAAAGGTAGGTGTTTGCATCAATGTATCCAAGGCTGAATGAATCCTTCATAATGCCTATCTTTCAGTCGTGAATCATTAAATCACAGTATTATGTTACTTTCAGGTCTCGGGGAGTGCCAGCTGTCCCTAGCTAAAAGTTTGATGGAAGACTGCAGAGATGGGGGAGCCATTGACCTTATTCAGCAAGCCATAAAAAACCTCTTCCGGTAATGACTTGACAATAGTTTAATCTGTATATCCTAGAATGAAATCCCTGATTCGATTAATTTATCATTTCATTTTTCTCGGCTCGACAGAGCTGTGGAGATGCGTCCGGACCTGTCCTGTTTGTGGAAGCTG